TACAACAAACAAACAGGCGTTTCTAGAACGATCGATAAGACACTCACGTCGCGATTAGTCTATAGAAATCTATAGCCATTGGTTGGCAACATTTTTAGCATAACAAAATGTGACCCGATTTCAATCAAAATGATTCACTTATGTAAAAGTACATATGACGCTTTGTGAAAATCTGTACGTGATTGAGATAAGTGGATATCATTTTCGGATTCGGCGTACAGGAATTAGTGTAGAACATGTAAAAATTTCAAGATAATATAACCATCGCAGGCCTGTGTTATTAGTAAATTAAAATCACGACAAAAAATAAACATCGTGAAACATCAGACTTATATCAAATGTAGAATTACAAATGATACGACTTTAGAGGTAAAATAATACACGGCGTTGTGGATTTCAGCACGTGCACTCTTTGCTCTTACCTAATATTTATTGTTTTACCGTTTTAATATGATTTTTTTGTGTTCTTCCGTGTTACTCAACTGATTTTTCATTGGACAATTTTGGAATACGTTTGGAGAGATAGCGTATCCCTAACGCATTTTTAGTGCTGTGATCTCAGACATCCTCCTCTATCTAAAGTTGTATAATTTGCATTTTGACATTTGATATTCTCATGCCTTACGATGTTTATTTTTGGCTGGATTTTGGTTTACTAATAATCAAAATAATTAATATTTTTTAGTTCTTTCTTTAATTTGACTTGTTATAACTGAAAATATTTATAATTGTTCTATGATATGTTTCTATATATAGATGTATGTATGTATGTGTATAAATTCCCACAGGTGCACCTGCGACGTGGGTTACACTGGCCAGAACTGCGAATCACAATACATCCCATGTGACCCAAGTCCGTGTGAGAACGGTGGTTCATGTGAAGCTGTAGATAACCTCAATTATCGTTGTTCCTGTTCTCAAGGTACGTCTGTTTTGTCACCTATTCACTTTAGGTGCCCAAAGTTAGAAGGAAATGATCAGGAGGTGTAACAAGTTTTAGTTGTTTGTAAAAGAGGTTAGAAAAACTAAAGGATTTTTGCCTTGAATGATAAGTTTATTGTCTTCGCCAGAAACTTAAAATGTAGATGTTTCATTCAATTTAAAAATGGAAAAATTACATTTATCAAAGAGAAGATTTCACAAAAGTTTAATGGTCTTTACAAAATGTAAAGTCCCTCGATGGGACAGCGGTAAGTCTACGGATTTACAACGCCAAAACTCCCCTTCGGTGGATACAGCAGATAGCCCGATGTAGCTTTGTTATAAAACACACACACACAAATTTAAAAAAAAAGTAACGACGTCTTGCAATAATTTTAGCTTATCAAATGTTTAAGTAGTTTTTTATAGCAATTGTTTTAAGTTTATAATTTAAATGACGTGTGTTATTTTCAAGCAGTGAACTGCAGTTATTTTGCTCAGTTGAAAATACAACTTTAACTTAACAGTCCATTCCATACGCTAGTATTTCTTTGCCAGTGGCGGTTCGTGTGCATGATAAGTCGTTTAGATTGCTTTTGATTTTATATCAGTAAGTATTAATAAATGTATAACCGGCTTTTAAGGTGGATTTTAAGGGGGGGGGGGGTGGAAGGGAACATAAGCTGTTTCTTCGTAGAAGCACTTAATATGCTAGACTAATTTGGCAGTATTTAACCACAGGGAGCTTGCTGTCAGTGTGCGTCAGCTTTTTTTTATGGTAATTCAACATTTTTTTGTTTTTATTAGTAGCAGTAATGCGAAAAACCCAGTTTTTAAGCTTGACTCCTTGCATACTTGTACTTAAAACTAGAGATTACCGGTCTTATTAAATCTTTGCTTTGAGGCAAAGCAGCGTCTCTCCTTTATGGATAAGACAGGCGTAAAATAACAAGGGCGTTTGGCTCTGCTTACCCACCCCTAGGCCCCTTCTCTGTATTCTTGTCATTGCATGTCTCGTGGAGAGGCTGAGTGCTTATATATCGTACAAGGCATCTCGCACTCAGTGGCTGCACATATTTGCTGACCTCAGCCTACTCTGCTGGTTTCGCCCTGGTCGCTAAGAAGGACAATAACCTTATTGTGAGTTCCACAAATGGAGCAGTGGAAAAAGTAAAACTCCATGTTACACAGAAATGGAGAGGTTTTGGTGACCAACGACTGATGTAAGCTTATAGTCTACGATGTGCTTTCATTTATTCAGCACAAACTACCTTTAATAATTAAATTGTCGTGATATAGTGAGATTTTATTATTATTCTGGCATATTTTGGAAAGAAACTTTGGTTTTAAACTACATGCGAATGATGAACCAAACAAACCCGAATAGAATCAGTGGAATATTTTATTTTAATGTTTAGGCTTAATTTTCTATATACACGGTAATAAATGTACTTGTCTTATTGGTAAGATTTTTGTCTTCGATTTTTACTTATAAATTTTTTAATGGTTATATTGAAAACTGTAGTTTTACGTTCTTTGGAAATTTAAAAGTGTTCATAAAACAATATTGATAATGCTGATATTTTATAAGCTTAGACCTTTTGCTATTATAGAAATAGAGGATACTCTTACGAGAGTAGTAGCATACAGACAAGATAAATAGTATGCTAGTGTTTTAGAAGAGAAAGATCTAGTTGTAGGAGGAACGTTTAAACACAGAGTAAAGAACGGAAAACACGAAAATAAATTATACTGGCAGAAGTAAAAAATGAACATAAAATGATTTCTATGTTTATAGTAAATCGTCTGTAAATGCGATGAATTTACAGCAGTCCTACGTGTACACAGAACTAGTAAAGTTGAATTAACTGTGCATTGAAAATAACTCTGTATCAGAGAAAAATGAAAACTTTAACGAGACTGGTTACACAATACTTGAGGTTTTTAGAACTCTTCGTTAGTCCTTGCATTCTTATCATGGGAAGCATGTTTTTATAACATTAACTATTTTATAAAGCAATCTTTGTAATTTTTCAAACGTAGAAATGAATGAACTGTCTTGTACTTGATAGTTTTTTTGACTGAGATACTTGTAAAAGGTTTACTTTATTAAAATATATTCTGTTTCTGCGATTCGGTATTGTTGCCACAGTTCAGACAGTCGTATGGTGTGTGTATATGAGTACATATACATATATTAAAGCTAGGCACACTTTACATAGTTGTACGTGAGGATAATGAATTCCGTTAATGACAGTACAAAGTAAAACTTTGTATTTCGTTACATTTAGTTGACCTCAGATGATTAAGATTTGCTGCTGCTTGTTGCCTTTATTGACCTTGTTTGCAGTAACATTATCACCTTAAACTTTGGCAGAAACTCAATGAAAACAAAAAACTGTCAATGAACTAAGGTATTTCATCAAAATTTTCATATTAAACTTTCTTTAGCTGGTTTGTATACCACATGGAATTTTCTAGTACAGGAAACGGAAGTGGTTATGAACTTTCTGGCAGATGACGTCTTTGATGTCTAATTGTGGTGTTTAACAGCTACTAAAAGAAAAAAAAACTTCCTGTTGTGTGTGTGTGTGTGTGTGTGTGTTATTTCTTATGAGTGTGAAATTATAATCATGATTATGGTAAGAAAAAATTCGTTTGAGAGCTACACTTAAAAATTATTCATTCATCATTCCTAAGGTATATGGTAACAAAGTGGTAGAAAATCATCCTTTGGAATATTTTTTTTATTCCTTTTTCAATGTATTACCTTGGTCATGATTAAAAGTTAAATTCATGCAATGACTACTAGGTCTGTGTTTTCAGCGTTGATTGCAAGAAAGTGAAGTTCCTGAATTTGTAAATTAAACTTTTGGCTTTGAATTATTGCATGTTACAAGGAAAACAGGAACTTACTGAACGTTCTGAGAGGAGTTTCAATAATCATTAGTTCTCAGAAATGACCAGTACCTTATTCGTTACATAGAGAGAAGTGTTCACTCATATTGTGATTATAGGCTAACCTCTAAGATATAAAGATAACGTGATAAAACATCACAGGGCAAAGAAGAACTGAGGAATTTATGTTAAAAAAAAGACGTCATTGCCACTAATTTTACAAAACGGTTTCCCAACAAATACTAATTACAGCATTTAGGCTTAGCCTCCTGGGGTACTTCTTCTCCTATTCGTATTAAGGTACTCGTATTTTCCTTGGGTAATGTAGGAGTGATATTAATATTTTGTGATTCTTCATTCTAATTGGTTGTTGTAAACGGATAGGGAGGATTTTTTTGATAAGGTATCGTTTGAAGTGAACCAAATATGATTAGAAAGTATAACTATTCTTAAACTACATTTTGTTACCAGATTTTTCTTAACACTGACGCAAAAACTGTGAAAACTGCCTTTGGTAATGAACTACCAGTTACAAATAGTTAATACCATAAAAACTTTCATTTTGTCAAGTTCAGTCTTCATGGATTACATTTGAAGTCGAGTGAAAAAAAAATTGGAAATTCTAATGAAATCAGGATTTTGAGAAACAGAATATTAGGTGTGAAGAATAAGGATAACTTTATTTATTCAAACACTTTCAATTTGTTTAGTGTAATGTGTACTGCTTGTCAGCTCCGTAAATTTGGTGGCAAATTTTGTGATTGTGTTAACCATTGGCATTGCGCATTTACTTTTTCTCTTTTGATTAATTTTTATATAGCGTAGTTAGTTGCCAAGCGCAAAGTTAGACAAATGGGTTATCTATGTTCTGGCCACAGTAGGTACTGCTATAAGTCCTCAATGTTTACAGGTGAGTCACCTGGTGGCTAGGTCGTATAGAATTACATCTCAGTAGCTAAGTGTACAATTAAATTGGATATTAAAATGTTTTATTTTGAAAATTATACCAAATTCAACTTGCAATGAAAAATTATTATCCAAACATGCTGTTATGTCAGCGAATCCCTTGTACCCTACGAATAAGGTTCCTAGGAAACTCCACTGATTTTAGAAACTGTTTGATCTTTATTGGAAGTGGACCTGAGACAAAACACTAAAGCGGTGCGACAATTACAAGGCGAAACTTACACACAAAATGTGCATTCTCATGTTTCTTAAAGGGCGTTTGTATTAAGAAGTAAAGTCACATATGTTGCTGACTCACTCACAAAAATTGTTCCTTAAAGAAATTTCAAGATTTATTACACTTAGGTTGAAGATGCATTGACGTGCAAGTTAAGAGCAAAATGAATATTTGTATGTAGATGTATGAGGCTAGGGACAGTTTTGGAAAATGTTCTCATGCTTGTAACTTCTAACAGTGTTGGACATGAAATTTGAAATAAGTTATTGACAGTTGTAAAGGATTCAACCAGACACAATTCTTACACTAGAATATCGGATTAGCTGAACTGTTCTCCTACCGATGTTCTTTTATTGATTCATTGTAAACTATAAACTTAATAATTAGGTTGTCGTAATATAATTTTGGAAATAAAATGATTTAAATTACGTTCATAAAGAACTACACAAAAACTGAATCATAGGGTACAGAAACATAAGAATAGTATGGTGAAGAAACACGGTGAGTTCTCAAAATATAATGATAAATTATGAATTAATAGGTCTGATAATAAATTGAAATTTTAATTACCTTGGTAAAATATTTTGTTTTGACTTCTTCTGATGGTTACACTTGAAATAGTTATTTTATAAATACATGTGCTATTCAAAAGTTGTTATCAGTACTGATATTTTAATACTATATTTGTGACCTGTACTTCTCTGATAAATATTAGTTTATCTGGGATTATATTTTCTGAAAGTTTCCTTCCTCTGATATGCTATTTTTTATAGTTTCTACCAGTCAACGATGCAGTGCGACGTGAATATAAAGTTTGATCGTTAATTTTTTTTACTAATAAAAGTAATACACTAGACGTTTGTTGTTTTAGACCCATATGGATTATGTTTTTTTTGTTGTTCTTCTTCTTGTTGAATTTCGCGCAAAGCTACTCGAGGACTATCTGCGCTAGCCTTCCCTAATTTTGAAGTAATAGACTAGAGGGAAGGAAGGTAGTCAAAATCACCACCGTCAACTCTCGAGCTACTTTTTTACCAACCAACAATGGGATTGGTCGTCACATAATAACGACTCCATGGCTGAAATAATGAGCATGTTCAGTGACAAATTGTGAGTTGAGCGCCCTAACCAACATGTTATCCAAGAACTTTAAAATATAATAATTTTTTTTTTCTCTTCACTGCTTCACTATCTGGTGATTCAGCGGTAAGATATTACAAGAAAAGTTAAGTCATCCCGTTTCTATGGTTAAATAGATAATTAGATAAAATTAAATAGATAAATAGAATAAGTGTAGTACTGATATTTTATCATCAAGTAATTTTGAAAATAGTTTCAAAAATGTAATAGTTACGTTCTGTAGTTTCATTTGTAGCGGGAACGTAATAGGATATGATAGAGAAATTCTTTGTCTCGGTTTTACGTCCGTCTGTTAAAAGGACGAAATTTGTGATAATCCTGAAATTTTTATCTTCATGTTCATTCATTATATTTTTCATGCTTCGATAAAAATCTTGAAAATTAATTGTTTTGTTTTGTAGGATTCACGGGTACCAATTGTGATCACAATATTGACGATTGTGTTGGTAATTTGTGTCAGAACGGAGCTAATTGTATAGACGGAGTAAATGATTATACCTGTCAGTGCCCACCTACCTATACTGGTAAGCTTATACATTGTTCTATAGTCTGTTGATATCTGTAAAGTTCAGACTTAGATCTGTTATGTTTAATTACAATTCAAGTGCTATTATTTCTTTAAATTTCATGTTTTTTTTTCAAATATATGACCTGTAAGTTATGTAATAGTGAAGCACGAATGTGTTGGCATGGTGTTCAAGTAAAAAATACAGTCGAAATAATTAAAATCCTGTTGATTATATAAAAACATAAAACTCAGTTTTGTTTTTCTCAATAATATTTAGGAAGCTTTTTATAATATCGTTTTAATCTTCACAAATTTACATGAAAGATGCATTTATACAGTTTGAACAAACATACAAGTGACTGAAACCAAGTATCTTTCAGATTCTTCATCGAAACGTGGAGTTATTATCTCATATAGACCTACCGCGAACTGCTGGAATTTGTATATTTCAGAATTCTCGTGCAAATCCATACAAAAGGATGTCTGCGCATAGCCGTCTCTAATTTGGAACTTACAGACCACAGGAAAGGCAGCTAGTCCAACATCACTGACCGCTAACCCTTGGGCTACTCTTGTCTAACCGTCACTCATAAAGCGCATTCACGTCCAAAAGTGTAGATTCGCAGTTGGGGAAAGCTAACGCTCGTTCTTGCTGCCAGAATACTAAAATGTTGTTTTCTGACCACTGAAGTTTGGAAAGCTTTTATCCTCTTGATATTATTATTATATTGTTTGTTTGTTTCGAATTTCGCGCAAAGCTACACGAGGGCTATTTGCGCTAGCCGTCCCTAATTTAGCAGTGTAAGACTAGAGGGAAGGCAGCTAGTCATCACCACCCACCGCTAACTCTTTTACCAACAGATTGACCGTCGCTTTATAACGCCACCACGGCCGAAAGAGCGAGCATGTTTGGTGGGACGAGGATTCGAACCCGCGACCCTCAAATTGCGAGTCGAGTGCCCTAACCACCTGGCCATGCCGGGCCTATATTATTATATAATCAGCCCTTGTCTTTGATCGATTGGAATAATTATTTTTATTTCGGTAGATGTCTATTGTTGATCTATTGAGAGTGAGAGAGGCATATCCAGTTATTATATAATATTTAGTTTCTTCATGATACAAATCGAAAATGACTTTATGAATAAGTGAAGTGTGAGAATCAGTATTTCATGTTTATTTATAAATACATACTGAAAAACAAATAAACTTGTAATGTTTTTGTTTTCCTTATTAGGTCCTTACTGCAGCCAAGATGTAGACGAGTGTGCGTTAAGGCCTAGCGTTTGTAGAAATGGTGCAACTTGCACCAACACCATTGGCAGTTATTCATGTATTTGCGTGAACGGTTGGACAGGTCCGGACTGCAGTGAAAACATAGATGACTGCGCAGGTGCTGCGTGTTTTAACGGTGCCACCTGTCATGACAGAGTTGGATCGTTTTATTGTCAGTGTGCTCCTGGAAAAACAGGTACAGACATGTTTTTAATAAAGTACTTATTCGATCTAGTTTTGCTTAATTGGGTTTCTTTCTGAAACATGTTGCAGTATTGTCTTGAGCATGCGATATCCATCACCTTTGTTAAGGAAGAAAGCAGTAGCTTTGACGTTATAGGTTTGTCTTTCATCGGTTAATTTTTAAACATGAATATGTTCCCCCCCCCCCAAAAAAAAATGATGTACAAAACTTTGGTATTAAGTATATTTCTTTAGCTACTTATTTATTTAATTTAATTTCGAGTATAAGCAATTAACTATTCCTGGCATATCAACGGTTTGGTTTTTTGAATTTAGCTCAAAGCTACACGAGGGCTATGTGCGCTAGCCGTCTCTAATTTAGCAGTGTAAGACTAAAGGGAAGGCAGCTAGTCATCACCTCTCACAATATAACGCCTACACGGCTGAAAGGGCAAGCATGTTGGGTGGGGCGGGATTCGAACCCGCGACCCTCATTGCGAGTCAAGCGCCCTAACCACTTGGCCATGCCGGTCCCGGTATATCAATGTTATGCAGTTTGTTAAATATCCCATACATCTTTTTTGATAGTTTTTAAAAGGAAAAGTACAGTTTAAAATATTTAAAAGTTAACTACTGGCATTGCCGGCTTAACCACAAGCAAGACTTGGATGAGTTGAATATAATCATTTGAAATAAAAATGTATCCATTAATTTTATCCCTCAAAAGGTTCAACAACATGTCTTTTCTTTAATATATATATAGCAATTAGGCACGTAATTTTAACTTCTTATATTGAATAATTTCTTTAGTGGGGGTAACTCCCCCTTAGCTCTCTTGCTAACGCGACTTGTAGTAGATTAAACTATTTGCAGCCTCTAGTGCCGATTATTGGAACTTTTAAATTATAAGCATCTTACGGATTTAGTGTTTGGAAAGTATATATGTGTATATAAACGTACCATTTCAAGTATCGTGATAGTATATTTGAAACAGTCAATTATTTGTTGTTGTTAAGGGCAAAGCCACACAATGGGCTATTTGTGCTATGCCTACCATGGGTATTAATACCTAATATATAGCATCATAAAGCCTCAGACCTACTGCTGAGTCACTGATGGGAGCTAAAAGTTAATAAGTACCTGATAAAAAATACTGCCAGTAATCCCAAAGCTATTTTTTTACGATGATAGTTGTAATGTGTGTCAAATAGTTCTTATCTCGCAAATTCTTATATTATTCAGTAGTTTTGGTCTTTTAATGCCTTAGTGTTGCCTGAAGGACCTTGTTATTGGTTTATGTGTGTACTGTATATATAAAAGATCATATCTTAATATTGATTTGTGTGTTTAGGTTTATTGTGTCATTTGGACGATGCCTGTGCCAGCAATCCTTGTCATTCTGGGGCCGAATGTAACACCAACCCAACAAATGGTAACTACCTTTGCACCTGTCCGAATGGCTTTAAGGGAACGGACTGTACAGAAGATGTCAACGAGTGCCAAGAAGGCACGTATTAATGTTTTATGTTGTCATTTGAAATTATTTGATGTAAATATATAGTATTACATAAAATGTTTGTTGTTGTTTTCTGCAATCTGTCCACTGCTGTGAATCGGTCTTTTTCTTCGTAAGACCAGCCGGGTGACTCAAATGTTTGTACTTCTTAAGTACATTGATAAGCGTTGATCAACCACTAAATGTTAAAAAATACAGTTAAGAAAGTAATTAGAATTCCAAGTTTAGATAATACTGAAATATAGTTTGAACAATAAAATATTGACCTATACTGATTTATTATATATTGGATTAAACAACTTTGTTTAACCATACGTATATGCTGATACAGTGGTGTAGCAATATATACGATCTGTTTAACACCTGTATATTTGTATCAAAGCGAAATCCCGACCATTCGACAGTGCAATGCTGCCACGGAATAGTAGTTTTTGGGTGGAGGAATATAAAATAGCCTTTTCAAAGATGTAAATCTAAAGAATGCAACATTTCAAAGTCCCAAACTCTAGTGTTCACCACTGAAGAGGAAAAACTCGCAGAATGTTTAGGGTAGCAACGGGCTTTCTCATCACAACCCAACTAGGAGGAACGTGATTATCTGAACAGTGAAGGCCGTAGTTCAGAAGAAGAACATTCCGAACCAAAAGCCATTGTCATGAAGCTGTGCATATTTTTTTGTACTGTGAACAAGATAATAAACAAGGAGCTGAAGTTGACGAAGGCGCATAGGTCAAAACTTCACAAGCTACGTTTCCAAAATCAAGGCAGTTTTCTTGAGATAGATGGCGGAAGAAACTGTGATCACTGAAATCTTACTCGATTTCACATCTGTCAACTTCCCCAATACATTTTGTTTTCTTTCTATTCGTCTACTTAAACATAGTCTTGGAAGCTGATAAGTCGCGATTTTGTCCAGATGTGGTCAAAAATTGATTTCGTAGTTCTTTACAGAAGCTTGTTACATTGGAGGTTATGATGACGGGCAGTGTTGTTTAATCATAACTATCAAACGGAACACAGTCGACTATAGGAGAGAAAGTAGTTCCAAAAGTAGTAGGGAAACTTAATATCGTTCTTTTAAAGTGTGATTAATATCAGTATACGTGTAATTTATTAATGTGTGTGTGTGTACACATAATTTATTTGTCTTGTCAAAAATATATTTTCACGTTACTTAACAAGAGTTATCTTTAATAAAGTTATCTGGAAACTGTATTTCGAAATTACGTTTCTCAGCGGATTATGGTGCAGGATTTGTTAACCAATATGGCAAAATATATTTAATATTTCATGCAGTATCTGTATTTTTTTTTCAGGTTTACCTTGTGAACATGATGGATTGTGTGTTAACACTCCAGGTTCTTTCATGTGCAATTGCAGTAAGGGTTTTACTGGGCCCAGGTGTGAGATTAACATAAATGAATGCGATTCCAATCCCTGCCAAAACGAGGGGACTTGTTTGGACGAACGAGGAGGATTCCGTTGCGTGTGTATGCCAGGTCAGTATTCGTATTTGTCGATTACATGCGTTACGTATTCTTAATAATTTTACACTTACAGAAACAGATGAAACAAAAAAGAAGCTGTAAGCTGCTTTTGTTTGGTGTGTAGAAAAGATGGATTATCCTCTTGCAGTGCATGTTTTTTTCGTCCGTGAAAAAACTTTGTATGTATCTGGAATGTGTTATCGGATATAACTTTTATCAAACTATAATTACCAGTTATAGCGCTACGCTACGGTAATTTAAAAAAAGAAATTAAAACATTGACTTTTACCCAGGGGTGAAATTCTGTCGGTACTCACCAGTACTGAGTACCGGAACATATTTTTTAAGGCGGTACTAGTACCGGGACTTATTTGAGCTGCTTTTTGTTTTTTATGTTTCAACGTAGATTTTTTTCTTTTTCAAAACAGATTCACTTTACCTAGATATATACCTCTACTTTTGTTTTTGAGATTTTCACCCCTGTTTTAGTACTGTACTCATTTGAAAATAATTTTTTTCATTGAAAGCGAGTACAACAGCAAGACAATGATTAATAGCTAATTGTACATGTGCAGTATGCATGATTTGAAAAAGGTAACGGTGTGGTAGATGTTGGTGTGTAATAAGAAATACTTTTTTTTAACAAATGTATTAGTATGTGTTGCGCTGATATATTTTTCAATATGTAGAAACAGTGCAGTTGTTTCTTTTTGGGGAGGATTTGTTCGTTTATAGTTAAACACAAAGCTACACAATGGGCTATCTGTGCTCTGCAGTTTCTAGCAGTGTAAGTCCGCAGAGATACCGCTGCGCTACTGGGTGGTTTTTGGGGGAGGAAGAGCAATAATATTACAGTTTAGGGCCCCCAGTGAACTAGCACCGTCCATGATAATTATCTTATAATTGCTAAACATGTTGAATACCTAAGCCTTTAATATTCAGTTTTTATTATTATTTACGTACTATTGGATGTATGTAATTTGATTAAGACTTGGATTGTGTTCTTATGCATAAAAATGGCTCGTGTGTATTATCGCTGAGTAATATTGTGAAGAACAAAAATGCACAGTTTAGAGATCAAAATGGAATACAAACTAGGCCAACCTTCATCAAAAAGTAGAAACAATACATTACTGATTAGCAGTAGTGTTTGTCTGTTTAATTTCTTTGTTGCCTAAGGTTAAGAATAACATTTTGGAAAATTCTTTACAAATTGTAAGAAAATGAAAGAACGTCATCAAATACTACTAAGGAAATAAACAGATTTGGAGCTGGAAAGTGAGTCCACTTTAGTAATATGATCAGAAGTGTGAGACTGATTTGAGTACCAGTAACTATGTTAAGACTTAAAATTGATCGTTTTCTTGTTTGTTAAAGAGGTTTGTTGTATTATTTTTGAACAACATTAGGAAGGAAAACAAAAAATGCACTGAGATTAAAATGGAGTACATTGTGTAAATTAGGTCAAATTACATCAGGTGATAGAAACGCCACGTTACTACGTAGCAGTACTAGTATTCTGTGTAATTTTTTCTGTTGCGCAAGGTTTAGAATAATATTTTGGAAACATTTTTTTTTACAAATCTCACGATAATAGAAGAACGTCATCAAATATTAAGTAGGTAAAGGTGTAGTTGGACGCGTTAAAGATTCCACTTTAGAACTATGATCAGGAGCGCGTGACTAATTTGATTATCCATGACACGGATTTCTTCACGAGCTTTTGGGCCCAGCAGTAGTTTGATAGGGTATGTTTGTTGCACCTTGAAGGAGGAGGGGATGGCAAAAGTTTAGTTTTTGAATGTCGTGATGCACGATTTATTGTGACGTAAGAAAATAAGTAAGTACAAAGAGGGCACCCAAATAACTTAAAATAATTGCCACGGCCCTAAGAAACAGGTAATGGCCGAACGTGAGCATATATATATTGTGGTAACTTTGGTTTTATATTGCAACGGTGCCCATCCATTGGCTGAAATATTAGTTCAGAAAACGACAACATAGGAATATAGGTCATTTTATCAGAACGTAGACTTGCATGTAATTTCATGGAGTTTTAAGATCAGTAATAATACTCAATGGGAGTTTATCAAAAAGCAGTTTAAAAAGGGCTTATGAGTAAAAATAGGTTCCCTGTCTCATCCAAAAATTTGATTGCCTTTTAATTTTAGACTACCTAAATGTTTATGATATGATCTCATGCAGTATGTATATATTTTTAGCTTATGTTACTGTTTTAGGTACTTGTTGGCTGTGTATAATATATAGCTTTTATATTTATATTGTGTGGATAAAAACTCAAACATGTTAACTCAACCACTTCCTTTAAGTAATGTTGACTGACTTCTTACCGTCGAAGCAAAAAACTTGATGCTACGTACGATTTAGCGTTACTAGCAGTTTGAGTTTACTTATAACGCCTGGAAATGCCATAAAATGTTAACTCGTGGTATGCAGCAAAAGTAAATTATGGTTTCTGTCGGTAAACTTCATATGTTTAAAGCAACAGTACAAGTAGAAACCATAACGCTGTACGATGTTTAGTGGCCATCATGATAAGCCTAAACCATTGTAAAATGCAATTAACTCTTTCATTGTCATTATTAGAAATAAAAAGGTTTCTTAGTGCCAGTTTTTTTTTAAATACACATTAAAAGACACGTGTTTTAGCATTTCACTACCTATTTGAAACATGAAACTGATAAACTTTTGGAAGTTTGATGTGTATAAAATTCCAAGCTCCGTACCTTGTAGCATGATGATATATTTTTCATACAAGTAGGAGGACAATTTTATTTATTATGTGTGTGAAAAAAATACCTTTGAACAAAACTGGTTTAATTAACCGCTCAGTACCATATTTTAAATTTGTTTGTAATTAAGTACAGAACCACACAATGGGTTATCTGTGCTCTGCCCACTACGGGTATCGAAACCCGGTTTCTAACGTTGTAAGTCTGCAGACATACCGCTGTAGCACTGGGGGCCGTATTTCAAATAAGAACAAGAACGAATTGTCACACTGTAAGATGTTCTGTAAACACGTTTGTTTGAGATATTTATGTGTAGACATTAAAATAAGTTAGACGATTACATTTTACTCTCGACTGGTGTACAACTGCTGTCGAGTAAAACTAATTTAGTTTTTTACAATTGAACTGAAAATGTTGGTTGGAAAATTAAAAATGCAAATATGATTTTTAACTTAAATGAATGTAATACACAAAAATATATAACAAAGTCATTTTATTAACGCCAATTCGACAGTAAGTACACTGAATTAAGTTGATGCCTGGCCTAAAATTAATCCTCCAATTGTTTTCACTTTGAAAAACAGTTAAGCAGATGTTAGGGTTATTTTTAGAAGGTTATTAATGAATTAAACAAAGGCTAGCTAACTGACAGGTGAATTATGACGAAACTATGAAACCATTTCTGCAAAAAACAACAACAACTGAGAACAGGTACACTGTGTTCGTATGTATGTCATTGCACAAGAAAACTAAAACTTATGTGATTAAAATACATTGAATCATCATTGGATACCCTCGTTATTAACGATATTTTCGGCCCTTTCGAGAAAAGAGGAGATGAATTTTACACTCGTAAAATGGTATTCGTTATTAGTATTCTTGACATTGTTCAACACAAACTGGAGTTTATTACGAGAACATTTTTATGAATTTAAATAAAATGATCTATATCTCCAGAATGTAACTTTATTAGCTCAATATTTCGATATTCGTCAGGAGCTATCGATTTCTTCTCATTGTTGGTTGTTATATTTACAAATCCTACGTGCTGAAGTATTAGGCCTCACGTGGTCAGAACGAAACCGAGTAGATTAATGTTAGAAGATCATGTAAAACAAACTTAACTATTGAAGTCACGTTCCTGCCTTAAGCCTACATCAGACAGTTACCGACCTTTTTTTTAAAACAATATAGGTCTATTGCCGAAATGTTGCCATTAGTTTTTGTTGATTTTACGTCAGATTTTACCCTACTCATTTTTATTTTGTTTTGTTTAAATCTGTATATAAGTATTCTCAGAAGAATACCAAGAGGATGTAAACATTTATCAGCTACTTGAAGCTGATTGACTTATGAATATTAGACTTGGAATAATTCCGTCAGTAGTTTCAGAATGTATGTAATTACTCTTAGGTGGCCAGGTGGTTAGGGCACTCGACTCGCAATCTGAGGGTCACGGGTTCGAATCCCCGTCCCACCAAACATGCTCGCCCTTTCAGCCGTGGGGCGTTATAATGTGACGGTCAATCCCACTATTCGTTGGTAATAGAGTAGCCCAAGAGTTGGCGGTGGGTGGTGATAACTAGCTGCCTTCCCTCTAGTCTTACACTGCTAAATTAGGGACGGCTAGCGCAGATAGCCCTCGTGTAGCTATGTGCGAAATTCAAAACAAACAATACTCTTAGGTAAACATCACAGAATACTGTCAAAATGCCCAAAATATTTATATTGTAGGATGGCTTCTATACCTAAAACTTGTATACAACATTAATACAAATGTTGATAGTTTCAGATGGTCTGCCGCTAACAAGCACCAAATATGTTACTATTGAGGCTTAGCCTGCGTGCTATTTAATACGTCCATTCTTCAGTGTTTTTGTAGTTTTTAATTGTAAATTAGTATACTTTCTACCGTAATTTAAGTTCTTCATGACTGATCACTTAGTTTTCACAACTACGTAATAAAAACAGTACGTACATGTACGTGTGCATAGGTTGAGTGAAAGGATGGTTTTGATTGAAAGAACTGGAATGAAAAGGGTGTTAAAGAAAGGGGGAGACAGGCTAAACGTACTTGAGATTCTTGCTCGCGGTTTACGAGACCTCTGCTACAACTCATGAGTTCCAGCCTTATTGTTCATGCCGTCGGGGTTATTAGGATTTTTGTTTTCTCAAAGGAACGAGCTGGCGTAGTTCACTTGAGAGGTCATGGCTGGTAGTTCTAATATAATGTGGCTTAGTCCTCTATCCTTATAGGACAACTTGTAGAATGACCTTAATGCTGTTTTGTGACGAAATCTTTTTTCTTGTTGTTGTTGCTGTACAATACATATGAACAGATTAAATCGTGATATATATATATATATATGACTAATAATTTAAAAATATCATTAATTTTAAAGTATTGTGTGTTTTCTTATAGTATCTGCTGTATCCACCGAGGGGAATCAACCCCCTGATTTTAGCATTCTAAATCCGAATACTTGCCGCTATCCTACTGGGGGACATTTAAAGCAGTGTTCAGAGCTGAGACTTAAAGCTTACAGATATGTATTACAGGTCATATCCTCATTGTGCTCAGTCAATAGTAATGTAGAAGCAAATAAATTTTTGATTTAACTCAAACATATTAAAATAGCATGAGTCAGTTCCTTAACGTAAGCATATACTACAGTTTACTAACCTCGGCCTAGATTTACGTCATAACTTAGAACCTAGCTTTAAAAAGAAAAACGCATATATATATGCTATTCACGACCCGCAAAATATATGCGGTAGTTTTCGTGCCCTTCGCTTGAATTTTTCCTTATTCTGTCATTTTCACTCATGCCATTTAAGCTATGCTTTCTTGCGGGCACTGTGTGTTAGATCAATAAATTATGATCTATTTGAAAAGAAAATTATGCGGTCAGACAAACAAACTCACGTAGACGTAACTTTATTTAATAAAACTATACGTGAAGTAAATAATAAAATAATGGTATTTATAATAGTGCACAGTTATGAGTGTTCAGTGTATGATGACACGGGTTTTACTAGTTGAAACAAAGGAACTCACAAAAACGAAGAATAAAACCCATAGTAAAGAAAAAGAAGCTAAAAGGTATTTATAGCAGTCTATGAAACGAACCGAAGCTAAATTATTGCAATGTAAAGTAAATACGGAGTTGTAATGAGGGAAAACTTAGCTGAATATGCAGAAACATCTGAATTCTTGTTCACAACGTGATAAGCATATAGTTTTGAATGAACTGTGTATGCCCATAGAAATTGTATTAAGTTCAATGTTCATTTTTTAAAGAAATTACATGGGTTAAGTGTTGTTTGTTTGGATACTTTGCAAATAAAAAACTAAAGTTGAAATCGAAGCCAGTTGTCACGTGATGACAACGATATTGTGCCATCGTGTACCATACCTTGCATTAAAATGTCTGACTAAGCAAAAAAACAGGTAAGATGATTCTGAAATGAAAAGCCAATATGCAATCCGGACTCCTTGGACAATAACCTTTTTAACGATATAAGATTTGTAGCGTTTGATCGTGAAATTTGCGAGAAAAGTTCTGGACAGACAAACACAGACATATTACTTATGTAGACTTTTTTCTAGCCTTATGCATTTTTTTCATCACTGCTGATAATTTTGATAGGTGTACTTAATCCAAAACAGTTAACTAACGTTAGTTATATATATAAATATTTTTGTGATATTAGATGGTATTCTAGTAAATTTAACAGTCTATGTAAGTATTCAATTCAATTTGGATAGGAAATTCGTGTTTAATACTTACTCTAAATTCTATGAAAGGAAAAGTTAAACAGTGCTGTTTAAAGGAAATAATGTCAAACAATAGTAACCCTTTTATATTAAGAAAGTAAAATTTAGAGTACATTTTTTAGTAAATAGGATAGAGTTGATCTTTAAGAAATACTTTCAGTGTTTATTAACATGGTTAAAGTTTCTTTAAAATGCACTTTCTGTGAGAAGTTTTGCTAATGGGCTGAAACTAAATATTAATAATAAATAGCTCTGTGTTTCTCTATGAATAGGCTATAGTGGGATACACTGTGAAACTGATACTGATGAATGTATGCCAAACCCATGTTTAAATGGAGGAATATGCAGTGACCTCATCAATGGGTTCAAGTGTCTTTGTCAAGTTGGTTTCAATGGAAAAAAATGTGAAATGAATATTGATGATTGTGTGAGCCAGCCTTGTCAACATGGTGGAACTTGCCATGATGGAGTAGCCAGCTTTGCCTGTGATTGCCTACCTGGTGGGTTCTTTAAACATGTACATTATAAAGTGTTACTGTTAGAATTGCCATCAAATTCCTACTTAGGTAAATTGTTCTGGATGCCTGAGAGTCATTTTCTTTTCTCGATAGGGATTCAGTAAAACTTTCAGCATGTTATTATCTTCTTGTTCCTATTTTGAAGTCAAGATAATTTTTCGAAATGTTTTATTAAAAGTATAAAATATTTCAACTTTCTATTCAATGAATAAATTGCAATTTTTAACTGTTATGTGTAGTTATGAATTCTCTGTCATCAATTTCAATATTTGATTGTTAATTTTACAGATTTTTGAAACGGTGGTCAGTTTTTACTTTAGTGAAATATTTGAAAATATGATATTTTTGTCAAGCATAATGAAATACTTGTATTTTCCTCCTCATTATTTTTTCTAAGATATATCTTTTTCTGATTTTTCATTCACAACTGAAATTAGTGTTATTTACCAAACTATTTTTTTATTGCAAAGCAAATTTAGATAAGTAATTTTTTTAAAAGGGTTTTGTAATTAACTAGTATTAGTTGATGAGGAATTGTAAAGTAACAGTCTCCTTCAAATGTAATATTTTACTCATTAGGTTTTACTGGATTTGCTTGCGAGACGAACATTAACGATTGTCAGTCTTCTCCTTGTTATTATGGAGAGTGTATAGATGGTATTGGAAGGTTCACATGTAACTGTCATAGAGGCTATACAGGTATTCTGTGCCAGACCCAGATTAATGAGTGTAGTAGTAATCCTTGCCAGCATGGTGGGCACTGTGAAGATTTCATTGATAGATATCAGTGTCGTTGTCGACCAGGCACGACAGGAGCCAACTGTGAACACAATCTAAATGAGTGTGCCAGCAACCCATGTCGCAACAGTGCCTTATGTGAAGATGGAATCAATTCATACAGATGTATATGCCATCCAGGATTTACAGGTGTGTTTGTGTGTGCATACTTGTTATAGACGCAAAAGATTACTTTTAGAAGTTGTGTGAAGTCGATGCTGAGATATTTTGATTTGTATATGTAAACTGAACAATTTGTTTTATCTTAAACTAAAATAGTAAATTTTTTGCAAAGAAAGCTTTTCTTTTATTACAAGGTTTACTAAATATTTTGCTGGCTTTGGTACGAAATATTAACCTAATAATACTTTTAAGAATGAAGATTTTTTTTCTGTGGAAATTTTAAAATAATACTTATTTATAGTACTTTTGTATTTGAATATAAACACCTTTCTTTATTATTGGTACTCACAGCTTTAAAACATTCTTTTAATCATTTGTGCATGAGACATTGTACTTGTATTGTTAATTACCTATGAACAAATTGCTCTGTATTAGTATTTTATTCTGAAAAACAATTTGCACAGTCAGAATATTAGTAAATAGAACATTTTGTATTATTACAAACCTAACACACACGCAGTGACTCTGTGGTAAGTTTGAAGGCTTATAATGCTATAAACTTGGTTTTGATACCTGGAGCACAGCAGAGATAGCCCATTGTGTATCTTTGTGCTTAATAACAAACAAAAACTTTACATAATTCGTTTTTGCTGATAGTAATCTCAAATTTGTTTAATATCAATAAGAATAGCACAGAAAACAGTTTAGTATATTTTATTTTTACATTGTCTTTTACACATTAAAATTGTTAACCAATACTTCAGAAATTGCCATATATATGTATATATATATATATATATATATATATATAGTACTAAATCATCACTACCCATTTTAGATTAAGATTCCTAAACTTCATTTACTTTTACTAAAAAAGGTTCTTCTTAGCGTACTCTCCACTAATTTTTTTTTATTTTTCAGGAACACACTGTGAAACAAATATTGATGAGTGTGCAAGTCACCCTTGTGCTAATGGAGGGGTGTGCACAGATCTTATCAGTGGTTTCAAATGTGATTGCCCACGAGGATATTATGATGCTCGGTGCCTCTCTGATGTCAATGAATGTGAAAGTAACCCGTGTTTAAATGGAGGGACATGCGAGGATGAAGTAAACAGATTCATTTGTCACTGTTCAAAAGGTGAATATTGTGAAATTGTATTTACTAAGCTAATATATACTGTAAAGAGGAGGATTAATGTAGCTGTTCACAGGAATGTAAAAAGTACTAAAATATGTTACTGAAATTCAAGTAAAAGTACTTTGTCAAAAAGTTACTCAAGTACAAGTAAAAGTATTCATCCTGAAATTCACTTAAGTTAGAGTAAAAAAAGTATCTATGAATAGGTACTCAAGTAACAAAAGTAAAAGATACACTCATTCTCCCAAACCCTACATGTATGTTGCGGGCCATGAGGTCTAGAAACAAAACCCTGTATGGAAAAGATTTACAAAACTACATAAATTACCAGTGATTTAAGATTTGTTATTATTTTAGTTATCTCGAACACATTTGTTGTGTATAATTGATTCCTGTTGTATTCACAACTACACCTATGGTTTCAGCCAACTCATGCATGAACTTATTACAACAGTAATGCCAATAATGAATATTGTACAAATCTTATTGTTTCAGAATAAAATACATAAGGAATTAAAAAAACAAGTATCTGAATTCAACCAACTATATTATGCACAAAATTTCTTATTCCATTTGAGAAGCAACTGGTTTTCAAAGTTGCCACAGTCAAGCCTTGCATGTAAAGGGCTTAAAATCTGCCCAGCACAATTGAAGAGAGGCTCTCAGGCAGCAGAGGCAGGGAGTAGTGTGTTCAAATGGATGGTTATGTCAAGTAGGCTGGAGAAAAGACTTAAAAATCTCCATGCCATTAACAGAGCATGCCAGGTATGTCACTAGGCCCCCCTCTTCCCGAAGCTATGCTGTTAACTTCAGAGTTCCCGTGCACGCCTTACGTTTTGACTGCCTGCCACGAATTGTATAAAATGAAAGGTAGTGGAGTAAAAGTACAAGTAATTCTCCTAAAAATTAGTTAAGTCAGAGTAAAAGTATTTGGAAATATAAATACTTTTTAAAAAGTAGATACTGACAAAAGTTATTCAAGTACTGTACTGAAATAAAGTTACTTTGTTACCCTTTACATCTCTTGTTTTCCAAAACATAAAATAGAAGAATTTTTTTATTTTACAGAACAGTATATTCTGACAATTAGTTATTCAGTAAAAGATATAAATAGTTAAACCAAGAATATTTTAAAAAACTATCATGGAGGATATAAAAATGAATGTCACACTAAAGTTTGAAAAGCTAATGTGTGTCTAGTTTAGAGATGCCCTAACAGAAGATTATGGTAAACTTGCAATATTGTACCGATAGTTTCAGCAACTAAATTATTATTATTTTTTTTAAGTCATTGATACAGATTTTTGATCGGTCATCATAATAAATTCCTTAGGTGTGGAAAGATAAACATTTGAAAAAAAAGTCACTTAATATAAAAGAACTGTGTGCGAAGTTTCTATACAGTTACCTTTTTATATGTGTGTGTGTGTTTTATGTTTATTTGTATATAAAATGATTTATTCTGTAATATCAGTTACATGCTAAGTATGTTATCCAACTACAATAAATTCTTGGACAAAGCCAAACTGCATTGTCACTTTGTGTTTCTAGTCAGTGTAATTTTGGTAAAATTATTTAACTTTCAAGTTACAGACTTGTTTATATTCTGTTCAGTACTGTTAGAGCCACATATTGCATCATAGTGAGTAACCTTGTTTTTGCTTGTTACAACACTAGTGTAAAAAACTGACCAAACAAATTTGATGAAATCACTCATTTTCTACATAACAGGAAACTACAGCAGTAATTAGTGAAAATGTTGGCAGTTTCATTCAATATTGTTTTTGTGTGGCTCATATGTCGTTACTGATATTGAAACCAAAAAGGTCATGATCCTTAAGTAATTTGGTGTGTAAATAGTTTAGAAAAATGTTTAACTACAAATGAACCTCTGTCACTATTTGTAGGGTTGATGATGCCATGTTACAGAGTCATTATAACAATACAATTTTATATTTAGAAATATTGTATAATTATGATTAATAAACATATCTAAAGTGTTTATATACATATATATATATATATATACATACATAAATTTTTTTTATGTAGGTTATAGGGGTCATCGATGTGAGTTAGATATTGACGAATGCCAGTCTAATCCATGCAAACATGGAGGGATCTGTCATGATAGCCTTGCTTCCTATACATGTTCATGTTTACCTGGCTATACAGGGAAAAACTGTGGAACTAATATTGACGATTGTGCTTCTAAACCTTGCCAGAACGGTGGATCATGCATCGATCTAGTCAATGCTTATAAATGTGTTTGTGAAGTGCCTTATAGTGGTCCTAATTGTGGAACTGAACTTGATCCTTGTACTCCAAATAAGTGTAAAAACAGAGCAAAGTGCACCCCTTCATCTAATTATCTGGATTTTGCCTGTACTTGTGAACTTGGATATACAGGTGAATATTTCACCCATTGCTTTGTTTAACTAATTAACAGGAAAATAATGTTAGTTTTTTCTATGAGAATTATTTTATAAAATTCAAGAAATACAAGGTTAAAAAAAATGTGAATAAGGTTTTTTTAAAGAAAGCAGCTTGCTATCTTATATTCTTTCAAGAAGCAGAAAAATAAATTTTCTTGTCTTTCAGGTCGCTTATGTGACGAAGACATTAATGAATGTGTCATCTCATCTCCCTGTCGAAATGGAGCTACTTGTGTAAATACAAATGGGTCATACATTTGTAATTGTGCTAAGGGTTATGAAGGGCGTGACTGTTTAATCAATACTGATGACTGCAGTTCATGTAAGTATAATAGCAGAGAACTTCAGTATCCTTTATAAAATCTTGGTAAAATATATTAAATATTCATCTTAATATTATTATTAAATAGTTTAGTAGAATAAAATAATTACAAAATTAAATATTAGAAAGAACTATGTTATTTAACGTTCACACAAGTTTTTTACTGGTTGTACGTAGTAAAACTTTTGTTTCTTTTGTTCAAAATAAAGCACAACAACAAACTAACCTTGTGTGAATTTACAAAATTATTGTTGATTGGACACTTGTATAAACCAAAGTTATTAGAAGGTACAGTTAAATAATTTTATTCCTTTATTGGCATTTTAAGGGTGTTTTTCACTTGTTTGTTCATTTATTTGTGACTTATAATTTTTTCTAAACATATTAGGTAGTTTATTGCTATAAACTATTAAGTAATTGATCATGTAGGTTAGGAAGAGGTTAATAACAATTATATTTTTATATTGCAGTATCTTAACTTCTAAGCAACCAATTGAACCAAAGTGTTTAATAGGAAATTTCTTCAAATATAACTTTATTTCTTATTATTATTGATAACTTTTTTTCAAATGCTTTCTCATTGCTTTATACATTAGGAGTAGTTTTAGTTATACAGATTTCTGATGTATTTATTGAACATTTCTTATCCACAGATCCATGCCAAAATGGAGGATCATGTCTAGATGGTATTGGGGAATATACTTGTGTTTGTGTTGAAGGATTTGGAGGAAAAAATTGTGAAATTGACATAAATGAGTGTACCAGTGATCCTTGCCAGAATGGTGCTACCTGCAATGATTATGTTAACAGTTACACATGTACATGTCCACTGGGTTTCAGTGGTACAAACTGTCAAACAAATGATGAAGACTGTACTTCAAGGCAAGCCTTTACTTTAAGAAACTCCTGTTTTTAGTTGTGTTGTAATTTTTTCTTTAAACCAGAAATGTTGGCTATTATAAGCTTTACAAAACAACATATATTTGTTTTGTAAATTACACAGAATAAAGACTTGAGATTTTTAAATGTATCACTTACAGGTAATTTTGTGATTGATACTTAAATTACTAAAATAGAATAGAAAAACAAAAAAACATTTTACCAGATATGTTTATGTTTAATGAAGCATAATTTTAAGTTAGATTTGAAGGATCTTCAAGAACGTGTTATGAAAATATTTATCCCTGCTTGTTGTTTTTAAGCTAATAAGATGGTATTTCAGGAAGCTTATTAATAGCCACTTCTAACTCACAGTAACTAACACTTTTTCAGTTTTTGATTTACATGTGTTTAAGGATTATAAAAACATCCATAACTGAAACATTGTGAAGTAATTTTTTATGACTTGAAAAGGGTATCTTAGATTGTTTTTTCTGAGTCACATGCACAGTATACATTATTAAGCAGATGACAGTGGTTTCATTAAGAAAACATAATGTTTATTTTGTTTATAAATAGGCATTTTGGATCCTTTTTTTTTTCAAAGGTACAGAAATATATTTTACTAAGAAATCTTGCCCATATCAATTCTTCCCCAACAGAAATAATGCCTCTAGATGGCCCTGGTAACAACAGAGTTCCCAATATTAATCCAGCAACAACAGTGTTCATATGTTCTCGTAGTTGTACAGAATTATAGTAAATAATTTTTAACTAGAGTGAATTCTGAATAGTTTTTTAAAATCCTATTTTTAGTTCTTGTATGAATGGTGGAATTTGTATTGATGGAATCAACACGTACACCTGTCGGTGTTCAGTAGGTTATACTGGTTCTAACTGCCAGTTCCACATTAATGAATGTGACTCGCACCCTTGTTCTAATGGAGCCACCTGTATTGACCACGTGGGTTTTTACACCTGTCACTGCCCTTTTGGATTCACTGGAATTCATTGTGAGGTAGGCAGAGTGATTTTATTTAACACTTGTGAGGTTTACACGTATTATCCTTATTTCTGTTGATGTATACTTCTGAGGTTAGCTAACTCTCAGAGTTGTCTGCAATCTGTAAAACTAATCATGTAAATGTTTTTGGTACTTATGAAATTAAGATACAAGTTTGTCTTATTTTACTATTAACACATTTTTTTCTTTATGTCATATTAAATTTAACTTGAAACTCATGGACCTAACAGTTTTATCTTTCTTAAATCTTGTGATCAATAAGACTAGCAAGTCTGAGCAGTACAGTAGCTTTATCATGGTAGGTAAATTAGTTAATAGGGACTCACTGTGTTTTTAAGAGAATCATAGGGCATTATGTAGAGATCTTATCTAAATGGGAAAACATTGTAACAGGTTCCACTTCTTAATAGATAGACTTAACCCCCATAATTATTAATATGTAAAGACCCCTTATCTATATATTTTCGATTATCAATACTTAGATCCGTGTGTGTTTGCTTTATGTTTTATTAAACTCAAAGGTATAGTATTATAAAGAACAATTTCAGTAGGTATTGAAATTAATATGAATGAAAGAAAATAAGGAACACAAAATACAAACAAGTCGTGGTTAATTAAAATTAATAATATATTTTTCCAGACTTTTGTTGATTGGTGTAGCACTAGTCCTTGTATGAATGGTGGTACTTGTAAACAAAGCAATAACACCTATCGCTGTACCTGTAGTCCTGGATGGACAGGAATGCTGTGTGATGTGTCTATGGTCTCTTGTGCTGTTGCTGCTTCTCAGAAAGGTATTTTAGCACTTAAAAAATATATTTTAATGTAGTCTTTTAACAAAAATTGATGACTTTAGAAAGTTTTTTATAATTGTTTTTCTTCTTTGTTTGTGAGTTCATGTGAATTCTTTAAAGAAAAAACTAAAGATTTTTTCTCATTACTTTTGTGGGCTATTAAGCTCATGTTATGTAGCTTTTGTTATTTTGCTTTCACTATTATATTTTTCTTTAAGGTATTGAAATTGTAGAACTTTGTGAAAATGGTGGAACTTGTGAAAATATTGGCAATAGCCATAGATGTATCTGTCGTGATGGATTTGAAGGGAGCTACTGTCAACATGAAATAAATGAATGCACCTCCCAACAATGTCAGAACAATGCAACATGCAATGATTTAATTGGGCAGTACACTTGTGACTGTCAACCTGGTTTTCAAGGTAAAATACTGATTGTGAATGTTTGTGTGTGTGTTATGGTGCTATTTAATATCAAAATCAGAAAAAACAAAACAAATGGATATGCTATAAGTCTGAAGTTTTCTGATGTATTTGAACTTACATTAATTAAACCCATGTTAAGTTTTCAAAAGTGTATCTCATAATCATAAATAAGTATCAATATTTAAGCAGTTTATTTGGATACAAGCTATGTATTTTGAAAAGTTTCACATAAAAATGATTTCTTTTTTCAAAAGAAAAGTGTGCACCTAACATTTATGGCTTTTCTTGTAGGTGTGAACTGTGAATTTAATATAGATGATTGCGATCCCAACCCTTGTCTGTTTGGAGGTACATGTCATGATCTGATCAACAAATTTGTGTGTTCCTGTCCTCATGGCACTATTGGAATTTTGTGTGAAATTAATGTCAATGAGTGCTTTGAAGGTGCCTGCCATCATGGTGGAACATGTATTGATGAAGTTGGGCATTATGAGTGTAACTGTCCCCCAGGTTTTGTTGGCCCAAGGTAAGGAAACAATAAGTAAATGACATCCTGGTCATAGTCAAAGTAAATAATATATCATGTTAACTGTTAAAAACTTGCAAATTTGTTCTTTAACAACATGGAATTCTTCAACTCTTTAAGATTAAATTCCGACATGCTTATGTTGCTTTACATACTTATAGTTAGTTTTCAAACCACAATGCTTTCTCATTAGTAATGCATCAGATGAGACTCCAAAATTTGTATGTTTATTAATTATTCCGTGTGTACAGACTTTTAACATCATTTTTATATTTGCTGTAAAGCGGTTCAAGAACATTTGTAACTATTATTTTCATATGCTATTTTACATCAGTTGTTTAGAAAATATACTTTTTTTAGGTTTAATCAGTCAAAATTTGTAACACTTTTAATAATTACATCAAAATTATAAGTGTTTTACACCAAAATTACAAAATGTTGTATTTGTATATGTAAATCCTGATAAAACTCAAATATCCATGTCTACAAGATTGACATGTGACATCTTTTCTTTAGGTGTGAAGGTGATGTCAATGAATGCCTCTCTAATCCTTGTACAAGTCCTGGCACCCAGGACTGCATTCAGTTAATTAATGACTATCGATGTGAGTGTAAACCTGGATTTATGGGTCGTCACTGTGAAATAAAAGTCAACTTTTGTGCTTCTAACCCATGTCTTAATGGAGGAATATGTAGTAGTACACAGTTAGGACATACTTGTGTCTGCCCTGAGGTGAATAGGTTTTATATTTTTATTTTATTTTGGAATTGAGACAAAGTCAATTAAGTAATTAGAATAACTTTTCAGGTTATAAGTTTGTTAATTATAGCATCTTGTGAGTATTTCCAGCAGACATATTCTATTAAAGACAAAAGTAGTAAAATTATGAAGTCATATGAAATGGTCGCATTAACATAAAAACAAAATCATGTAAAAATAACATTATTTCAATACGGTACAAGTTTTTAATCAAATTTTTTTATGTTAGTAATTTTTGTTTTTACCAGAAAGTTAATATTAATATAATTTATGGTATTTGGATATGTATAATTTGATACTAGGGTGTTCATGTTTTTTGTTGTTGTTTTTTTCGAGAAAAAGGAATAGTGTTAAATAACTATCTGGATAATAATTGGTGTGATTTAATGTCGATTTGAAATATTTTTTGATGTTTTTTTATACAGGAATGTTTATAAGTTATATAAAAAGTTATCTTTTCATAATTTTATTGCTTTATTTTAGGAACATTCACTAATACTTCATAATGTTTGTCAGAAAGTTTTATATTTGTTGATTTTTCACAAATATTCATCATTGCATGTGTAATGATTCATCCATGTTTACACACGTATACAAGTTAATATTTCTATAAGTTTGCTAGTGATAAAAGAACTGTTCATGTTTAGGGATTCTGGGGTGACAACTGTGGGTTGACGAATACTACTTGTGCTAGTAAGCCATGTTTAAATGGAGGTCAGTGCCTTCCAAAACGAGAAGGCTATACTTGTTTATGCCCACGAGGTACAACTGGGAAACTGTGTGAGACAATCATTGATGGTGCATGCCTGTCGCTACTCTGTCAAAATGATGCTGCTCCCATTGATAGAACAGGTAATTTTTGTTATAATGTTTTTCTTTGTTTCATGAAAATAGTATCTTAATTAATTGTGAATGTTAAAAATGGGAATAATGTACAGCTGTGATATCACAGTTATGTCGTTAACCATTTTTCTAACCCAGAAGGATTTGTCCCTTGTCACATTAAAGGCTATAAAATCATATATAATATTCAACGTTAAACTGATACACAATTAAAAACATTTTATTTAGGCCTATCTACGGCCTTCAAAAAGTTGACGACTCTACATGTTTTGACGTTACAACGGCATCCTCAGGAGTGATAACGTTGAAACATGTAGAGTC